CCATTCAGGGGAGACTCTTTGTAATGTAACCCACAGCAGAGAGAGAGAAAGGATTTTACAGCAAAATCAGCCCTGCAGGCTGCACCTGAGGCCAGACCACGGGGCACCTTTGTCGTTTCCTCCTGCACCCATGGGAGTCCATCGTGCCCCAGCTCCGTCAGGAGGAAGTGATGGCTCTGCATGATTCTGCCCAGGCAGCTCCCGTGGGAGCCGAGGGGAGCAGAGGGGCTTGAGAGAGGGTGAAGTGCGGGGAGGGGTGATGCTCAATGGGACGTCCCGAAATCCTGCCAACGGCCCTGACGATAAGGATGGAACCTGCTCACGAGGCGCTGCACCCCAACCCCCACCCAGGTCTTTGCAGACCCCCAGCCCCCACCCAGGTCTTGCAGACCCCCAGCCCCCACCCAGGCCTCCGGGACGAGGAGGGGTGTGTGCTGGGGCTTCCCTCTGATGACGAACTTCCCTTGGGAGCCAGGCCGTGTGCGCAAACGGAGAAGCCCAAGGAAGAAGCCCCGTAACAACAGGCAGATGGCGGAGCAAACGGTTAAATGCACAGACTGTTTCAGACGGATTTGCTCCCGGTCTTGGCTCTGCTCCTAACAGCCGTGTGACCTTGGGCAGGTTACTCGACTGCTCTGCACCTCAGTCCCTGCATCTGACAAATGGGATAATCACACCACCTCACTGACAGGGGCGCTGCGAGGACTAATGTGTCTGTCTGACAAGGTGCTTAATAAGGGGTCATCGTCCCGAAGTGTAAGTGCTGGGGGAGCGCAGGCTGCTCGACTGAAGAGTCAGCTTTCTACAGGGAGAGTCAGAAAAACGGGGGGCTTGGCGATTGAGAGGAAACTGGCAACGGGCTGGTTTTGCCAACAGAGCTCGAACTCGTCAGTTTCCGCTGTATGAGATGATAAGTCGTCAACTGCTCAGCTCCGAGAGGCCGCCTCTGGGACCCTTGCTGCCGAGAAGAGCCCTCTGCCGAGGTTCTGGAAGGAGACGGCTCATAGGAACAGCTATGCCCGCGCCAGGAGATGACCCACGGCATGCAGACGAGGCCCGGACAGCGTGGCAACACTGAGTTCATCGTATCCACAGCGACCTGGAGCCCTCTTATGACAAGTGCTTGTATTAAAGAAAAGCGCATAACCCTTTGAAAATGCTGACGGAGCAGCAGCTTGGGGCTGCGGGCAGTGACCGGGGAGGGCCCCGGCGGAGGGCCCACCTGTTTGCGGCGCGGTGGGGGGAGGTGTCCCAGAGGTGATTCTGGGTGATTCCAGGTGATTCTGGATGATCGCATCTGAGGTTCAGGGGTGAGCTTTGGGCTGGGGGTGCAGCAAGGCAGTCATTGGTTTAGGGGTGACTTCTGAAGCCATGAGATGGCACCCAAGGAACGCAAGGACAGAACGAAGAGCCGCGGGCCTGGGCCGGGACCCCAGGGAGCAGCGGCGTCTATAAGGGGTGGGTGGAAGGTGTGACAGAGACGCAGAAGAGCGTTGAACCAGGAGAGGGCGGAGCCGGCGGAGCTCAGGGAGGGGCGAGTTTTACGAAGTGGTAAACAAACAACGCCGGTAAACAACGCCGGTAAACAACACTGGTAAACAACGCCGGTAAACAACGCTGAACCGGGCAGCGAGGCAGAGGGAGGGGACCCAGTGTTCACGCGCAGAACGCAGAACGGGCGATGCGGCCGAGCTTCGCGAGAGCAGCGTCTGCGGAGCTGGGGGGCACAAGCCAGTGGGGTGGCTGAGCTGCGAGGGGGGCTGCTGA